GTAATCACTGACGCGTCGTCGTCGACCACGAGTCTCAGAACGGGGTCGGGTCACTTCCCATCAATCAACCCCTTGTTCGCAGAAGCCGACTTCACCACAGGGCCAAAAGATACAATGGAACTGAGGCCAAGGCTGACGCATTTTCGTTTTTTTTTATTAAAGCCCGCGCAGACGGCAGGTTAATGCAAAGACAAGGAACTGATAGCGATGAAGTTTTCGTGGGATACATAACAAAAACACTGCTGAGGCATTTCGGCCGCGACCCGAACGCGTTTATTCTCCGCGTTGATGCGGCTTTCAATTTCAGTCAAGTGGAAAAACAATGCATTTGAATGCGGTATCTCGGATAAGTACAGAGTGCTTCATCTTGTTAAATTATATGCGTTCTCACAGCGTACAGAGTTTCAGTATTCCACCATGTTGCGGCTTTGAAGAACATCTACTTCGTTGTTATGTTAAAGTCGATGGTGCTTCGGTACGTCATGGCAGATGCCGATGGCGTCCGTACACCTTCCGGTTCTGCTACAACTAGTAACACAGTCGAAACATTTAACGCCATCACCAAGAAGGTGTAAACACTCAGAATGCGAATGAAATGGCTTGCCTCTTTCTCGGTTTGGCCGTGGCTGTCAGCACGAGAGTTTATCTGATGCAGTGTTCGCGGAACAAGCCAAATCCACGCCCAATATTAAAAGTACGAAGACGGGCAACGGAGCTGAAGAGGGGGAAGCTGATTGAGGAGATGCCACCACTCCCTTGCTCTGATAACGACCCAGTGTAAGTGACTACGTGCTTGCGAGAGTGCGACCTACTCCGCGAATCTACGTAAGACCGCAAAAGCAAACTGTCGAACTCATAGAGATCCGCAATATTAATGACAGAATGGAGAGCGATGATCAACCTGAAGCAGGGAAGGTCGTCAGTTTCCGCGAGCGTACGTATCTTACAAGTATTACTTTAAGTATACCTTGCGCGTGCACTTGTACTTTGCCTTGTGCATGCACTACGACTCTGACAATCCTCCCCGTCGATCGCTGTTCAACCGGATCCAGAGGAAAAGAAAACGAGGTCGTGTTGCCGAAGCCGTGGCAACCTAACAGCCAGCGCGAAAACGCCCAATTCTCTACGGGCCGGCTTTCTCGTTAGTCTAAGACCTTGTGTTGCCCTTTAATACCCTTGTCGGAGAGCGGAAACACCTTGAGTTAGATAGGGTGAATCAGTGGCAACAATTTCGTGTCGTATGACAGTGTGGATCAGTGTCACATGACAGTATTATTCTGAAATCTCAGTACCAACTACAACACTTCCAAACCGCTACGAAAGCTGTGTTTTACAACGCCCTATTCATTAACTTCAGCTCCTCTTCAGTGATGCTTCCCTTCAGCTCGTATACTTTAAGTATTGAATGGCGTCTATGCTGACAGTACGAGTTTATCTTTGCAAAGTACTTACCGCAGCTCTCACATGTAGCCCCTTCGTCATCGACAGCTCCGTCATCGTCTTCTTCCGCGTCGCCACTACCTCCACTCTTGCATGTCCGGATGTGGTTAGCTGAATGACGCCTCGACTCACAAATAAGCTTCAGTTCTCGCAAATGCAGCAGCCTCAGTAGTGTCCTCCTTCTGCTCAATGCCTTTGACCAATAGCAATGAAGCCGAGCGTTTTCTTCATCGAAATCTGCACCAGCATGCGCCAGGTCTCCTCGGAAAACTAAAATCGGCCCCTTGTTCAATACTAGAACCTTTGCATCATCGATATCGACGAGACTACCCAACCGGCGGGGAAAGACGATGAATCGGGTGCCAGGAATAAGCGCCGCAATCACCGAGGCCTGGACGCAAGTCTTCTTTAAAAGCGCCTTGCTTGTCTCGAAAGACTGATAGCCTTTGTGTGGTCCCTGTCTCATCCCGCCAGGGAGAGACTTCAGAGCATCCCAATCGTCTGTCTCAGTTCCCATTCTCCCTCAGCGCTCCCGGTGATGTCCTTTGTGCAGATGCTTCATTGCATCGCCTAAGGTCTTTATCGGAGCTTGTAGTCTGTTAGGGTCTCCATTCACCGTGTCATCGTTGACATCACCAGATAGGTTCAAACTTTAGCGGTTTGATTTGCTCCAGCACGGCGCTAAAGGTATCACCAGGAAGATCAATTCTGCCGATAACGTAACCTTCATTCCAAAGTTTAGCTATTTATGCGTTGTCCATATTTACCGTAAATCGAAGCGTCGACGACACTTGCGGAGAGCACGTAAGAGACGTGGCGGATGCGTGTGAGTGTTCTAGCAAGGCTAAGCAACAGTGGGAGCAGCATGCTTGCGCACCTTCGGTGCCTACACGGACGAGAGGACGAGACGTCGGGTATCAAGCGTGGTTGCGACGACCGAGCGCAGAGACTGTGCGGGTGTGGGCTGGCCGGTGCGAGCGTAACGGTCGAGCGCGGAGATCGTGCATGTGTAGGTGGTTGGGTGCGAAGAGGGGGGGGGCACCAAGAAAGACTTGGAGTGGCGGGCTGTGAGCACTGGCCAGTGGCGGGGACTGGGCTTGCGATCCACGTGGATACGCCGGTCTGTCGTGCGCTGCTGAACGCACGCTAAGGACAAGAAGGCAATAATCGAGAAGCGGGGATCAGTATTACACTGCCTACCAAGAGCGAGCGTCGATGAACTCGCAGCTACTTGAGCAGTGGATTGACCTCATAGTTTAGGGCTGTCTTCGAGTTAATTCCAGGGAGGGGACTGGTTTGAGATTCTATGCAAGCTCACACCTCTAAGGCCACGAAGATCAAATGTACTAAAAAGAACGTGGACATGCTGGTGATTCCAGGTGGTCGAACGCCTACATCCAAGCCAGAGATATCCGGATTTTGAGTCCCCCAAGACCGGGTTGCCTGACGTGATCAACGAAAGGAAAACTTCGTTTCTTATCGCGCAGTATCTGCTATGTAATACACGAAAATGCAGAATTAGTTGAATTCCTGCAAAAGGGCGATATAATCCACTTTTCAGAGGCTGATTCCTACTCTGATGCGTTCACACGAACAGCGACAATGCCAGCCTTAATGATCATAGCGCTCCATGAACAGAGTTAGCCACTTGTCTGAAGTCCGTATCCGTAAACTCCCCTCTTGCTAGCTCCAGAGTGGTCGGCTGAATCCACTGTCTCGATATCTTTTCTTTTGACGCACGTACACGCAGAATATCATTGAAGAGAACAACTTCCAGCTCTCCTAGGCGTGGACGGGCACCTCTACCTGGAGCTCTATACTGCAGAGCTGGCGAGTTCAGAAGCGTGGGTTTACTTTTCCACCAGTAGCGGATCTGAGCCGCCGAAACTTTCCAGCCTCACTTCCCTTTTAAAATGCGCTTCTGCGTGTGTAGGCACACCGCCGCCAGGGCGGCTGCAGCGGGGCTGCCGTAGCTAACGTCAGAGGAGGACGTACGACTCAAAGAGTCCCT